TGATGTCATCCTGGGCAACGACTTGGGGGAGCTGACCTCCGCTTTTGTTTCTCAGCACCCCGCGCAGGAAGCGCTACCCGTTGTAACACGGCAGCAGGCTTGCACTGCCGCATCTTCTGAACACTCTGAGGCTCAGGTAAGCAACAGTCCTACACCCCCTTTTGTCCCCTGGGCTCCCCCCTTAGAATTTGGTACTGAAGTAGTCACCGACCCGTCCTTGCAGGTATACCGGGATAGGGTTACGCAGAATCAGGCGGGGTTAGAGGGGGAGAGATATGCTTGGGAGAAAGGATTATTGTATAGGTACGCAGAGAAGATAGTAGCAGGATCTGTACCCATGACCCTCACGCAATTAGTGCCCAAAAAGTACAGACGAGTTATTACGTATTGCCCACGATATCCCTTTGTCAGGACACCTAGGTGTCAGTAGGACAAAACACCGTTTGACCCAAAACTTCTTTTGGCCAGGGGTGTCCAAAGATATCCGGCAATATTGCCAAACTTGCGATACGTGCCAGAGGGTAGGGAAGAGAGGAGACCGATACAAGGCAAAAATGCACTCCCTTCTCATAATAGATGAGTCCTTTAGTAGGGTAGCTGTTGATATAATTGGACCCCTAGCAAAACCCAGTCCGTCCAGGAAAAAGTACATCTTAACAGTAGTAGACTATGCTACCCGGTACCCAGAGGCAGTGGCCCTAATATCCATGCCGAAACTATAGTGGATGCCCTGATCCGGATATTCTCCCGAATGGGGTTTCCTAAGGAGATTATCTCGGACCGGGGTACCCAATTCACGGCAGAAGTTACTCACCAGTTATGGAGAACATGTGGGGTGAAACCTATTGTAAACTCAGCATACCACCCCCAGCTCAATGGGCTCTGTGAACGTTTCAACGGAACATTAAAGCAAATGCTCTGTACGTTCATGGATGCCCAGAAGGACTGGGAAAGGTTTCTTCCCCATCTGCTCTTCGCTTACCGAGAGGTACCCCAGGAGTCCACAGGGTTCTCGCCATTCGAATTACTATTCGGAAGGAGAGTGCGGGGTCCTTTTGGACCTCATTAGGGAGCAATGGGAAGGAACTGTCGCCTGTAACGGTACCCCTATCGTCCCATATGTGCTAGAATTCAGGGAGCGCTTGGAGACCCTAACCCAGACGGTACGGTCCAATCGCCAGGCGGCCCAGCAACGACCGCGCAGATGGTACGATAGGGGAGCCAGGGACCGCAGTTTTCAAATAGGGCAATAGGGGCTAATCTTGAAGCCGGTCCAAAATGACAAACTGCAGGCCTCATGGCAGGGCCCTTATAAAGTGGTTGAACAGGTATGTGACACCACTTATATAATTGCCCCATGTACGGGAGCAGGCGGTAGACGCATGCTCCACGTTAACATGTTGAAGCCGTATCATGAGCGGACCGAGGAAGTAACTGCCATATGTGCTTCGGCGGCCGAGGACCCAGACAACTTACCGCTACCGGACCTATTAGAAAAAGGGGGGCCTGACACAGAATTAGGGGAAGTACAGCTAGGAGACAGGATGAGTACTAGAGAGCGAGCTCAAATACTAGAGCTGATCAGAGAGAAAGGGGATAAATTTTCCAATCAGCCCGGATATACCCCCCTGGCTACCCACAGAGTAGAAACCCCAGGGCAACACCCTCTTCGGCAAACCCTCTACCGCATACCCGAATCTGTAAAAGATCATATGCGGAAGGAGATTGACGAAATGCTGCAGTTAGGAGTGATAGAACACTCAGCCCATGGGCCTCTCCGGTAGTACTGGTGCCAAAGCGGGACGGAACCACCCGCTTCTGCGTCGACTACCAGAAACTTAGCGATAAAACGATTTCTGATGCCTACCCTATGCCTAGAATCGATGAGCTCCTAGATAAAATGGCCCGGGGCCAGTATCTTACCACAATAGACTTGTGCAAAGGATACTGGCAGATCCCACTAGCCGAGGATGCCATCCCAAAGTCCGCATTCGTCAACCCGTTTGGGCTATACCAATTTAAGGTAATGCCATTCGGGATGAAGAATGCGCCGGCTACCTTTCAGCGGATGGTAGATCGGCTACTGGACGGATCCCAGGAGTACGCTTGCGCCTATTTAGATGATATAGCGATCTTTAGTAACTCCTGGGACGAGCATTTAACTCCTATAGGAGCCATCCTCGACCGCATTAGGGAGGCAGGTCTCACGTTAAAACCCAGCAAGTGCCATGTAGGGATGGCGTAAGTACAGTACTTGGGCCACCGGGTGGGCAGTGGGCAGCAAAAGCCAGAACCCGCTAAGATAGAGGCCGTAGCTAAGTGGCCGACCCCTCGCACGAAAACCCAGGTTTTAGCTTTTCTAGGGACTGCCAGTTAGTACCGCAAATTTGTGCCCAGTTATAGCGCCCTAGCAAAGCCCCTTACTGATCTCACCAAGAAGAACCTGCCCAAAGTAGTGACCTGGAGCCCAGAGTGTGAGAAGGCATTCCAAGAACTGAAAACTGCCCTAATTCATGCACCTGTACTTGCCGCTGCCGATCCAACTAAACGCTGTCTCGTTCATACAGACGCTTCTATGTTTGGATTGGGAGCAGTGCTGAGCCAGGTCGGGGCCGATGGTGGCGAACATCCAATCGCTTACTTAAGTCGGAAACTACTACCCAGGGAAGTAAGCTATGCCGCCATCGAGAAAGAATGCCTGGCGGTAGTGTGGGCCCTCAAGAAACTCCAGCCCTACTTATATGGACAACAATTTGCCTTGCTCACAGATCACAACCCGTTGGTGTGGCTAAACCGGGTGTCAGGGGACAATGCTAGACTGCTGAGATGGAGCTTGGCGCTGCAGCCCTTTGATTTCACCATCCAGTACCGCCCGGGAAAACAAAATGGTAATGCCGACGGGTTGTCCCGACAGACAGAACTAGAAAAATTATCTGTGAGCACTCTCCCGGACATCCCCAAGCCGATCCGTTTGGTTCTGGGGGAGCATTGTGGCAAACCCTGCCACTGGTACTGATCATTCTGTGTGAATGAAGGACTTTCACCAAGGGAATAAGTAACCGAATGGACTTTCTTGTTATATTGCTGTTTTTAGGCGAATGGCCGAAACTACCGAACGTGAGACCACCCCGGGGTGGTCGTGTGTTTCCAATTAACTGAACGATACACTGTTGCGAGGGAATTAAGTGCCTGTATGTGTGGCCGCCATTTCACATACCGAACACGTGGTGGCGGCCATCTTACGCACGAACAGCGGTACTTGGTTGTCGAACGCCTGGAACTCAAACCGGGCATTCGACTAACCAAGTACCGCAGAGACCTCCAGCGTGCTCCGACAGCACGAATCAAACACACGAACGCCCCGGCGTTCGGTAGATAGATTCCCCTAAACGAGGGGAATCATACGAATGGTAGCAATCGCATGGATGGCTAACCGTTCGGTATTTGTGGTTCACTGAAATAGACCGACCGCAGGGCCAGAATGCATGGAACTGTTTTTGGCTACGGAGTCCCTGCGGTTGGTCAAATCTTTAACAGTCTGTAACTCCCGAACCCCTGGTCCGATTTGGGTGAATTTCAAGTATGTTGCTCACCCAGATCAGACCTACCAGGGGACCCCTTATTTGTCCCTGTACCCCATGTATTTAGGGGACATCCAGAAAGTGGGGAAAACTCTGTCCCCACTAATCTGTTTAACTATTAATCTAAAGGGAGGAGAGTGAGGGGAGGTGACCGGGTTACAATTGGTTACTGTATGGGAGAAATGCATAAAAGCAGACCTGTGATTAAAGCTATCAGTTGACTCCCAGACTATGTGTCGTCTAGTTCTTGGGGAGGTGGATTATGCTGTGTTCCTGTGATTTTGTGTGCTGAATCTTTGTTCCCAGCGGAGAGCCCTTGGATTAACCCCTGCTCCTCCGCTACACTCCACCTACACACTCTACATACCCAATCCTGTTAAAGAATTAAGATAAGCTTTTTGTGACTTATCTCAATAAATGAAGTTGGTTCACAAATTATGTTTTCTGGTTATTTTCTTTTGCCCACTTTTATTACAGGCCTACTGCTCTGTCGGTTCTGGCACACCACAACCGACTGCCTACTCATAGATGTTATGATTGTATTGTCCTAAGATTTCTCTGTTCGGCTATATTGCCCCGACTACAAATATATCATTTATTTTTATATATATATATATATATATATATATATATATATATATATATATATATAATATCTCATACAAAGTGTATTTTTATATTTATATATTAATATAAAAATACACTTATGATTAAATTACGTGTGTGTATATATATTATATATAATTATATATTATAAAATATAAATAATACATATATAAATTAAATGTAAAAATTTTTTTCATTTAGAAAAAAATTATATATATTACACAAGATCCAGCGCACTCACCTATCCACTAAACAGCAACTTCAATGTGTGTGTGTGTGTATGTATGTGTATATATGTATGTGATATATATAATATATATCCTTGTTTGAAGTGCACTCACAAGACTATTTGGAGGTCGAAGTTTGCACCTGGGCAACAGACAAGACCAGGAGCAGTGAGTGCGGGACATTACGTTTAATATGTGTGTGTGTATATATATAGTGTGTGTGTGTGTGTGTGTGTGTATAAATATAAATACAAATGTCCATATACATAATTACATAAACAATTTCAGAAGTATACACGTAGACTTCAAATATATAAATATATATATATATGTGTATATATATTTAAATTCTACATGCATATTTATGTAATATTTTTACATAATTAAGTAATTTTATTGATTGCAATTTGAGGAACCTGCCTGACAATCCAGGCCAAAAGTCCAGAGAATTTAATTTGCTAGCACTGTGTTTAACCCTATAACTTTCTATGACACCCTAAAACCTGTACATGGGGGTAACTGTTTTACTTGGGAGACTTCGCTGAACACAAATATTAGTCTTTCAAAACTGTAAAACCTATCACAACGATGATATTGTCCGTGAAAGTAAAGGTTTTTTTGCATTTTTCACACACAAACGGCACTTTCACTGACAATATTATTGCTGTCATACGTTTTACTGTTCTGAAACACTAATATTTTTGTTCAGCGAATTCTCCTGAGTATAACAGTACCCCACATGTAGAAGTTTTATAGTGTTTTTGAAAGTTACAAGGTCAAATATAAGGCTTGATTTTACTTTTTTTTTTTTTTTCTTCATTAAAATTTATCAGATTGGTTATGTTGCCTTTGAGAGCGTATGGTGGCCCAGGAATGAGAATTACCCCCATGATGGCATACCATTTGCAAAAGAAGACAACCCAAGGAATTGCAAATGGGATATGTTCAGCCTTTTTTAGTAGCCACTTAGTCACAAACACTGGCCAAAGTTAGCATTTATGTAGCGGAGCGGCAATATTCAATCCCACGATCTCCGCTGGTAAAGAAGGTAATCCACAGTCAAGCGCTGAAAAGTAAGGCAATATCCCAAATCCCCCAGTAACCGGACGAGACACAGTTCTGGGAGTCAACTGAGGTTTTTATTCACAGCTAGTGATGCACCGAACGGTTCGCTGGCGAACAGTTCCTGGCGAACACATCCGCGGTTCGATCTGCCCCCTATTCGTCATCATTGAGTAAACTTTGACCCTGTACCTCACATTCAGCAGACACATTCCAGCCAATTAGCAGCACACCCTCCCTAGCAGACCCTCCCACCTACTGGACAGCATCCATTTTAGATTCATTCTCAAGCTGCATGCTTAGTGAGAGGAGGGAAAGTGTAGCTGCTGTTGATTAGATAGGGAAATGCATAGCTAGGTTAGGGTATACAGCGTCCACTACAGTCCTGAAGGACTCATCTGATCTCTGCTGTAAGGACAGCACCCCAAAAAGCCCTTTTTAGGGTTAGAACATCAGTCTGCTTTTTTTTTTTCTGTGTAATGTAATTGCAGTTGCCTGCCTGCCAGCTTCTGTGTCAGGCTCACAGTGGATACTGTGCCCATTTGCCCAGTCAGTGCCACCACTCATTTCTGGTGTCACAATAGCTTAAGCTTGACATTTAAAAAGAAAAAAATTTTTTTTTCACTGTAATAGATTGAATAGCAGTTACTTGTCTGCCAGCTTCTGTGTCAGGCTCACAGTGGATACTGTGCCCATTTGCCCAGTGCCACGACTCATATCTGGTGTCACAATAGCTTAAGCTTGACATTTAAAAAGAAAAAATTTTTTTCACTGTAATAGATTGAATAGCAGTTAGTTGTCTGCAAGCGTCTGGGTGTCAGGCCTCCTTCAGCGTGTGCTCTGCAGACCTTTGCCCGTGTACTTTGCCACTCATATCTGGTGTCTCTATAGCGTGCTTTTACAAAGAAAAAAAGGTTTTCAGTGTAAGCTAATAGCAGTCAGTGTCCTTAAAGCGGGTGTCAGGCCTCCTTCAGTGTGTGCTCTGTAGACCTGTGCCCGTCTACTTTGCCACTCATATCTGGTGTCTCTATAGCGTGCTTTTACAAAGAAATTTTTTTTTCAGTGTAAGCTAATAGCAGTCAGTGTCCTTAAAGCGGGTGTCAGGCCTTCAGCGTGTGCTCTGCAGACCTCTGCCAGTGTACTTTGCCACTCCTATCTGGTGTCAGAATAGCGTGCATTTAAAAACCAAAAATCTTTTTTCACTGTTATAGATTGAATAGCAGTTAGTTGTCTCAAAGCGTGTACTCTGCCAGTTTACAGTGCCACTCATATCTGGTGTCACAATAGCTTGCATTTAAAAACAAAAAACTTTTTTCACTGTTATAGATTGAATAGCAGTTGTCTGCCAGCGGGTGTGTCAGGCTCACAGTGGATACTGTGCCCAGTGCCACCACTCACTCACTGGTACCCGGACGAAATTTCTTTTCACAAAAGGCAATCCCCAACCTGTTCTCGATTGTGCAAAAGGAAATAATGGCATGTGTTGGGGCAAGGGTCCATCTGACCACTGATACCTGGTCTGCAAAGCATGGTCAGGGCAGGTATATCACCTACACTGCGCATTGGGCAAACCTGCTGGCGGCTGCCAAGCATGGAATGCGTGGCTCTGCAGAGGAGTTGGTGACACCGCCACGACTTGCAGGCAGGCCTGCTGCCACCTCCTCTAGTCCTCCTACTCCATCCTCTTCCATAACCTCCTCGGCTGAGTCCTCTTCTGCTGCTGCGTCTTGCTCCACATCAACGGATAGGGGACGTAACAGGGATTAAACTGATAAGAATAGTACTACTTAACACACCACTCCTATCTGGTGGCACATTAGATTGCACGCGCAGTGCCCCAAATTTGTTGTGATCTGTGAGTAAGGTAAACGGTTGTCCATACAAGTAAGGTTGCAGCTTTTTGAGGGCCCACACCACCGCCAGGCACTCCTTTTCAATTGCAGTGTATCTACTTCCCTGGGCAAAAGTTTCCGGCTTAGATAAGCCCCGGGTTGCTCGCCGCCATCTGCTCCGACTTGGCTCAGTACTGCTCCCAATCCAAACATAGAAGCGTCTGTATGGACGAGAAAGCGTTTAGTTGGATCAGGAGCAGAAAGTACAGATGATTTAATGAGTGCCGTCTTGAGCTATTGGAAGGCCTGTTCACACTCTGGGGCCCATACTACTATCTTGGGGAGGTTTTTACACATTCCTATATGGCACTTACTGGGCTTTAGGGTCAGTCCGGCCTCCCTAATCCGGTCTAGTACGGCTCCTATGTGGGTCAGGTGTTAGGGCCAGGAGCAGCTAAAAATGGCTATATCATCCAAGTAGGCGCAGGCATACTCCTGAAACCCATCCAGTAGCCGATCTACCATCCTCTGAAAGTTAGCCGGGGCATTCTTCATCCCGAATGGCATGGCCTTAAACTGATACAGGCCAAACGAGGTGACAAATGCCGACTTGTGGATGGCGTCCTCGGCTAATGGAATTTGCCAGTACCCCTTGCACAGATCTATTGTGGTGAGGTACTGGCCTCTGGCCATTTTGTCTAGGAGCTCGTCTATCGGGGCATAGGGTAGGCGTCTGAGGTTGTTTTATCGTTTAGCCTCCGGTAGTCTACACAGAAACGGGTCGTGCCGTCCCGTTTCGGTACTAGTACTACCGGGGAGGCCCAGGGGCTGTCAGAGTGTTCTATCACCCCTAACTGCATCATTTCCTCAATTTCTTTCTGAATATTTTCTTTAACTGCTTCGGGTATGCGATAGGCGGTTTGGCGAAGGGGGGTCTGGTCTAGGGTTTCAACTTTGTGAGTGGTTAACGGACTGTACCCAGGTAGGTTGGAAAACGTGGCCCCCTTGTCCTGGATTAGTCTTTGGACCTGGGTTCGCTCCTGGGGGTCTAACCGTTCTCCTAACTGTACTTCTCCCAGGTCTCCGCTCTGGCCCTCTAGGTCTAGGAGATCTGGGAGTGGCAAATTATCATAATCTTCAGTGGCAGGTGCACAGATCGCGGTTACCTCTTCCGTGCGCTCGTGGTATGGCTTGAGCATGTTCACATGGAGCATGCGCTTGCCTCCCGTGCCTGTGACCGCACCGATCACAAAGGTGGTATCACAAACCTGCTCTACCACCTTGTATGGGCCCTGCCAGGAAGCCTGCAGCTTGTCCTTGTGGACAGTGTCAATCCATATCTGCCAAGTGACCCTATGTAGGGGGAACAGTCTCTATTCTGCTCTGTGTCAGTGTGTATCATGGTCTCTGAGGACAGGTGTCAATCCATATCTGCCAAGTGACCCTATGTAGGGGAACAGTCTCTATTCTGCTCTGTGTCAGTGTGTATCATGGTCTCTGAGGACAGGTGTCAATCCATATCTGCCAAGTGACCCTATGTAGGGGAACAGTCTCTATTCTGCTCTGTGTCAGTGTGTATCATGGTCTCTGAGGACAGGTGTCAATCCATATCTGCCAAGTGACCCTATGTAGGGGGAACAGTCTCTATTCTGCTCTTTGTCAGTGTGTATCAGGGATCCTTAGGATAGGTGTCAATCCATATCTGCCAAGTGACCCTATGTAGGGGGACCAGTCCCTATTCTGCTCTGTGTCCGTGTGCATCAGGGGCTCTGAGGACAGGTGTCAATCCATATGTCAAGGTGTCAATATGTCATATGTCAGGTGTCAATCCATATTCATTGTGATTTAGGAATGTTAGGTGATTTCTGCCCTTTATGGATTAAAACCAGACTCTGCATCAACTGTAATTTTCCATGGGAGTTTTGCCATGGATCCCCCTCCGGCATACCACAGTCCAGGTGTTAGTCCCCTTGAAACAACTTTTCCATCCCTATTGTGGCCAGAAAGAGTCCCTGTGTGTTTTAAAAGTCTATGGCGGTTCGCCCGGTTCGCGAACATTTGCGGAAGTTTCGCGACATCACGAAATTTCGTGTTCGCGACATCACTATTCATAGCATCCAGCATTTATGCAAGTCCCCATGCAAGGGGTTTCCCTACTGACATTGCAGGGGTAATACAGTAGGGGACTACATGGGGGACATTCAGAACATTTCTCCCATCAGGCACTGCTGGACGAGAGGGATACTCCCACTGGAATATACCGTTAAGTGAATTATCCCTCTGTGCAGCAGAACCGGCATTTTACATTAAAATTTATAACTTTTTATAATACTCGAGTGATTTAAACGAACGTTCGGTGGATAGCTGGGGTCTGAGCGCCCATTTCGTGAGAATACCGCTCAGATCCCAGCTAAAACAACCGAACGCCGCACGAAATATACTTTGCCATTGAGTTCGTCTGAAAGTACCGAACACCGATGGGGAACTCCAATAGTGAAACACCGGAGCTCCCGAACGGCCTGGAAGTCCAGTGGTGTTCGCGCCGTCGAGTAGCCGTTTTCAGTTCCACGTGCTCGACGACCACCGCGTGGTGAGACAAAGGATCCAAGATGGCCGACCGCCGCGTGGTCGGTAGCCGAAGGACGGCCTCCTAGGAAAGTCTCTAATTACCGATTGCAACATTGTTGCAATCGGTTAATGAGCTCCACACGTCCCTCTATGTGTAGGCTATTAGGGGGTAGCTCATTCGGTTCACGAACAGCTAGTAAAGTCGCTGTTCGTGAAACGAAACACATGAATGCTAGCGGCTTTCGGCTGCTAGCATACAAATTCTATGCAAACACACAGTGTAGATCTAGGTTATACATGAAGTTACAGGGATTAGTACAGACAACCTTTTTATGCATAGTCCAGAATATTACAAGTGGCTAGGTTTGCCACAATTTATATTTGTTTGTGTGTTAAAAATGCAAAAAATCTTTGGCCATGTTGTATCTTTGGTTAGTGTTTGTGACAAAGTGGCTACTAAAAAAGACTGGACATACCCCATATTGAATACCTTGCGTTGTCTACTTTAAAAAAATATGTACATGTGGGTTGTGATTCGGGGATTTATGACAGATAAGTGTTACAATGTCACTATTGATAAATGTAAAAAATATATATATTGAAACAGCAATTTCCTACTTGCCCTATTACTTGCAAAAAAGCACGTAAACACTGGGTGTTTTGAAACTCAGGACAAAATTTTGAATCTATTTAGCAGTTTTTTTCATTAGCTTTTGTAGATAAGTAAAAGATTTTTCAAGTTAAAGTCCAAAAACATGTTTTTTTTTTTTTTGTTTTTTTTAAATGAGAGAGCGGAAAATTACAGCTAAACACAAACACCACAAAAGTGTTAAAACCGCTCTGGTCCTTAACGTACAACATCGCAAAAACAGGCCGGTCCTTAAGGGGTTAAGGTTTTATGTATATAAACAATCCTGTTCCGTAGTTGTCACACTTCTGATGAAACCCCATGGTAAAACGCATTTAGTGTGTTTTTAACCCATTTTTGTTTGTCAATAAAGCTTTATCCCTGTAAATTTAATTCTTTTGAATTTATTTGGCATTTACTTTGCGCTATACTTCCTGCACATCCCAAGTGAAGATTGTACCACCAACGCTCCACTACACTAGAGCAGGTTTATGCTCTTAAAAATCACTTTACCAAGAAAGTACCATCATCACTGCTGTATATACAGCATTAGACAGGGATTATACCGTCCACGACTCTATATAGCTCTGGAAAGCGTGAGTGTGCTTTCGTCATAATTTACTACCTCAAAATTTAAAAACATATTGCACTTATATTGTTTTGTTCTCTCTTTTTGTCTTTTGGAGAGATCCATCTACTAACAAGATCCTGCTAAACATATGTATGTATACATTTTCATATCGGTTTTATCCAACCAGTAGATTAATTGATTATAGGTGTGGATTATACAATTAATTTTTTGTTTCATCCTTGTTGTCACAAGGTTGGAAAAATAGTGTGTGATAAGCTGCAGCCCCTATCCATCTTTTGAGTACATAGTGAGCATCTATACTCTGTCAGTGAATGGTATGTTTAGGTCACCACCCCCCATCTGATCGCATGGGAATGGTGTTTTTACTCACATTTTTTACAAGGCTGTGCCAGTCTCTCCTTCATAACTGAGATTATTAATTACCAATTAACATCTCATAGTGAAGCATTAAAACCATGCATGTCTATGGGGAACGTTCAGCACCGCCTCCACGCTGAATGTAGGTGCTGCACATTGTGCAGCATTGAGATAGGAGACTCTTTAGTGGCCGTTTGAGTGACTGCCACTAGAGGTGTTACTAGGCAGCAAGGTAAACACTTACATTGATAAACCTACAGGGACAGGTTTTAGACGGCAACATTTTTAATTTAATTTTTTTTAGCTGACTCCTAGATTTGAAAGCAAATTTGTGAAGCCCTGTATACACTATGAAAACATTATTCCCCTTCTATCCCCGCCCAGACTTTCTGTGGCTGTCCAATCACAGACTTCCCAATGCAGCTCAATGAGAAGTCTTTGCAAGGCAGGTGCTCTGGGCAATTGCTGCCTCTTGAGTTTAGCTCAGTAAACAGGCAGGAAGTAACAGGACCGGTTATGTGATTGAGAGCCAGAGTGGGGGTGTAACAAGGCTTATTTATAAAAGTGTCAATTTCTATTGAATTCTGCACTTTTTATAAAGCTGAAAAAAATAAAATCGATATGGATAAAGTTCTTTAACTGTCCGGAGTGTCCCTTTAAGCACTCAGTATTTTGTATATCTGTGTCAATCTGCCACCTGGATGGAAATCCCTTTAAATCTAGCAGTGAATAGAGTATTAATAGACTTGGTAGAAGCCGTGCTTGCAGTTTATGTTGTGAAGGGGAGGATTGGTCAGCCTGATGCCCTTGTCTGTCCTTTTCTTAGTGCCCAAGGTCCAGTTTGCCAATGATGACCGACATCTTCTGGCTTGCTGCTCTCTGGATGGAACCATCTCTGTATGTCAGCTTGTACCCACTCCGCCAGCCGTGCTGCAGACTCTGCGTGGCCACACAGCTCCTGTCAGTGACTTTGCTTGGTCCTTGTCCAATGACATCATTGTGTCCACCTCTCTAGATGGCAGTATGCGTATCTGGAATGCACACCAGGGGCGCTGCATCCGCCATATTCCTGACCCAGATGCTGCCCAAATGCTGTGCTGCATCTTTCAGCCAATCAACAACAACCTTACAGTGGTAAGTTCGGCCACGCTGCACTGTTTGCATGACTGCGTTTGTGTTTGTATTGCTTGCCGTATAACCTATATGGATTGTAAAATTCGTGGTATACCAAGTCTGGGTGGAGGTGAGTTTATCTTTCCCTTGTTTTTCAGGTCGGTAATGGGAAGCACAATCTCCACGTGATGAATATTTCCACTGGTAAAAAGGTTAAAGGTGGCAGCAGTAAACTCACAGGGCGCGTTCTGTCTCTGTCCTTTGATTCTGCGGGACGCATTCTATGGGCAGGCGATGACCGTGGCAGCATCTATTCCTTCCTCTTTGACATGGCCACAGGTGAGCCACAGGTGCAGGAGATGAGACTGCCTGCAGAGGCTTGTGTGGGGTCTAATCTCAGGTGGAAGGGCAAGGCGCTAATTTGATGGACGCCTCTTCCATAGGGGGCCAAGAGCTTGCTCTGAGAGGATGGATCATTGCATGCTGGTATGATGAGGCTGTGGGATTCAGTATTTGTTGGGGACCGGGCTCTAGCTATTGAATGAACTCATCAGATCGGTTTAAGTGCCTTTACAGTGTTTCATAATAATTTGTTTCCTGTAGGTAAACTGACAAAGGCTAAACGACTGGTTGTATCAGAAGGCAGCGCCATCACCAGCATCTCTGCCCGGTCCTGGATCAGTCGTGAGGCTAGAGATCCCTCGCTACTTGTAAATGCCTGTATTAATAAGCTGCTTCTTTACAGGTGGGACCCGAGTCCTCGTGTGTTCACATTTCTTATTGAAACTTGTAATGCGCCAACATGCTCTGTAGCGTGGTGTTTGAATTCACTAATCGGAGTTGTTGTTCTGATCTGTCTTGCAGGGTAGTGGATAATGAGGGGACATTACAGCTAAAAAGGACCTTTCCCATCCAGCAAACGGCTCACCCAGTACGCAGTATCTTCTGTCCACTCATGTCCTTCAGACAGGGCGCCTGCGTCGGTAAGTATCCAGACATGGTAAAGCGATACAAACTGTGGGGCTGAACGTCTCACCTGCCACCTCTCACGATGGCTTGACACTATAACCACTACAGCGACATTGTGTTTATAGTGCCCTTTGCAGTTGAGGTCTGATTAAACAGCTAATACATTGTGAGTTGTCGCTTCTGTGGAATTGACCCCTTTTGATATGGCTTAATGAGCACCCTTTGCCCTTATATCCTGTGTCACACTACACAGTTGATTGAGTAATGTCAGGATGCTCTATTATAACAGCTGGCCTTTGATCCTGATTTGTATCTTCTTCTTGTTTCCCCCCCTGCACTGCATATCCTGATAACACCTTGTTGGGAAGTGTTTGTTTAATCAAGTAACACCCTTTGACCAGCTAATGCCAAATGTGCTTTAAGTTCTTTGAATATGCAATTGACAGGACATGACTGTATTATGTGAAGACAACCCCTTTTTGGATGTGTACAGAATTTTGTTATAAGATCTGTGTCTGTGTAGTATCTGCCATACATTTGTGTGAACGAGTACTGCCCTCCGAGCTCGTATTTCTGCTGTGTCCATTCCTTGTATTCATACCTGAGAGAAAACATTGCTGTCTGCTGAATTTAAACCACAATTTATTGATTTTTCTCCCCCATGAGCTGCTGTAATTCTAAAAAATAAAAAAATGTAGGAAATGGCATCATAATACAGTTCAGACAGGAACAGATGGGGCACACAGGGGTAGAAACACCGATTCAGACAGGCACAGCCGCAGCCCACGAGTAGAAACACCGGTTCAGACAGGCACAGCCACAGCCCACGGGTAGAAACACCGGTTCAGACAGGCACAGCCGGGGCACACAGGGGTAGAAACACTGGTTCAGACAGGTACAGCCAGGGCACACAGGGGTAGAAACACCGGTTCAGACAGGTACAGCCGAGGCACACAGGGGTAGAAACACTGGTTCAGAAAGGCACAGCCGCAGCCCACGGGTAGAAACACCGGTTCAGACAGGCACAGCCGGGGCACACAGGGGTAGAAACACCGGTTCAGACAGGCACAGCCGCAGCCCACGGGGTAGAAACACCTGTTCAGAAAGGCACAGCCGCAGCCCACGGGTAGAAACACCGGTTCAGACAGGCACCGCCGGGGCACACAGGGGTAGAAACACCGGTTCAGAAAGGCACAGCCGCAGCCCACGGGTAGAAACACTGGTTCAGCCAGGCACAGCCGGGGCACACAGGGGTAGAAACACCGGTTCAGACTGGCACAACCGCGGCACACAGAGGTAGAAACACTAGTTCAGATAAGGAACAGCGAGGGCACACAAACGTAGAAACACTAGTTCAGATAAGGTAAAGCCGGGGAATGCAAGGGTAGAAACACTAAGTCAGATAAGGTAAAGCCGGGGCACACAGGGATAGAAACACCAGTTCAGACAGGTACAGCCGCAGCCCACTGGTAGAAACACTAGTTCAGATAAGGTAAAGCCGGGGCACACAGGGATAGAAACACCAGTTCAGACAGGTACAGCCGCAGCCCACTGGTAGAAACACTAGTTCAGATAAGGCACAGCCGGGGCAAACAGGGGTAGAAACATTGCTTTCTTTCTCCTACACTCTGTATGCTCTCTACATTAAATGTAATTTCCCACATCTCACAAATACAAATGTATTAAAGGGACACTATAGTCACCAGAACAACTACAGCTTATTGAATTTGTTCTGGTGAGTAGAATCATTACCGTCAGGCTTTTTGCTGTAAACACTGTATTTTCAGAGAGAATGCAGTGTTTACATTACAGCCTAGTGATAACTTCACTGGCCACTCCTCAGATGGCTGTTAGAGATCCTTCCTGGGTCATGGCTGCCTAAAATGTATCCAAACATTCACGATGTCCTCCCTCTGCATGCAGACACTGAACTTTCCTCATAGAGATTCATTGATTCAATTCATCTCTATGAGGAGATGCTGATTGGCCAGGGCTGTGTTTGAATCATGCTGGCTCTGCCCCTGATCTGCCTCTTTGTCAGTCTCAGCCAATCCTATGGGGAAGCACTGTGATTAGATCAGGCCACCACTTCTAATGATGTCAGCAGACTGCTTGTTTTATTCTGAGTCTAACAGCATGCAGAGTTACAGCTTCAGGCTTGAATACAGTAAGATTTTTACTATATTTATGGAGGCATGATGGGCCCAGGGGGGCTAGATGGTGGTTTTAACACTATAGGGTCAGGAATACATGTTTGTGTTCCTGGCCCTATAGTGATCCTTTAAATATAGAGATAAGTAAATGCAATATTAATACATTGTGTATGAATAAGCGTATCACACTCTGGTTTGTTGAATTGCCCTTCGCTAGCACTAACTGGGTGGAGAGTAATGTGTAGTCCATTGCCATGGTGACACAAGTTTCCTTGAATTAATTTACACAAACGCCCTGAAATGAATGATTAAACTCTATAAATTGGCCAGCAATCCGTCTATTAAGGTAATTTCACCCACAAGTTTAGTAAAGATTGTTGTTTTTTTTTATCATGTCTTTCCACTTGAGACCTTTCAGCTCCTCTTACATCTAAACATTGTCAGTATTCACTTATCCTGACACTCTGTTGGGAGTAGGCCAGCTCTGCCCGTACCTGGGCACTCTGTTGGTAGTAGGCCAGCACTCACCTTACCTGGGAATTCAGGTAGGAGTAGGCCAGCTCCCCCCCCCCCGTATCTTGGCACTGTTGGGAGTACACCAGCTCTCACCTTACCCGGGCATTCAGGTAGGAGTAGGCCAGCTCCCCCGTATCTTGGCACTCTGTTGGGAGTACGCCAGCTCTCACCTTACCCGGGCATTCAGGTAGGAGTAGGCCAGCTCTCCCCGTACTCTGGCACGTGGCTGGGAGTAGTCCAGCTCTCCCCGTACCTGGGCACTCTGTTGGGAGTAGGCCAGCTCTGCCCGTACCTGGGCACTCTGTTGGTAGTAGGCCAGGTACCTGGGAATTCAGGCCAGGCCAGCTCCCTCACCTTACCTGGGAGGGCTCTCAATTCAGGTAGGAGTAGGCCAGCTCCCCCCCCCATCTCTTGGCACTCTGTTGGGAGTACGCCAGCTCTCACCTTACCCGGGCATTCAGGTAGGAGTAGGCCAGCTCTCCCCGTACTCTGGGCACTCTGTTGGGAGTAGGCCAGCTCTCCCCGTACTCTGGCACGTGGCTGGGAGTAGTCCAATTCCCTTCTGTCTTCCATTCTACTAACTGTTTTTTTTTTTTCCCTCCTTCCAGTGACTGGGAGTGAAGATTTATGTGTTTACTTCTTCGATGTAGAACGTGCAACAAAAGCCATTGTTAACAAACTCCAAGGACACAGTGCGGCTGTATTGGGTGTCAGCTTCAACTGTGATGAAAGCCTCCTGGCCTCCAGTGATGCTAAGGGCATGGTCATTATCTGGAAGCGTGAGCAGAAGTAGAGCCCAGTGTGACCAACTGTTTCCCCCTCCTTTATTTATAATGTGTGGTTATGGTCGCTGTGCTTAGTGTGAGTAGGATGTTTGCTTTGATGGCAGAGGAAGCACTCTAGTCCAGACTATTGAAAGACGGGTGAGGAGTGTGACGGAACTATTCTACCATGTGCCAGGAGTGGGCATGTAATCAGTTTTAGCACAGATACCATCCTGCCAGCCTTTTACAGGAAGTAAAGTAATTACAGAGCTTTATTTAAAGCAGAAGTTGGCTATTGTCTTTAAATCGTCATGGTGATAGTTTCTCTTTAGTTCTACCCTGGGCCCTGTGATGGTGTCGTACATCTAATAAATTCTCTGTTTGCTTTTTTTTGTTTGTAAATCTTGCAATAAAACCTATGATTAGAATTGTGGAAAAGATGGACAACGTTGGAATTGGGGTCTTGCATATCTTCTGCTGGAGCCCCATCATACTGCTTCTTGTGTGTGATTTTCATAAATCCATTCCCATAAAGCCCATGCAGTTTGAATCCATTTATTTTGATTAAGTATATTTGGGCACATGAGCTCCGTATAACAGAAAATCCTGGACCCTTCTACAGATTAAAGATACAGAAGAAGAGAGAAGTAGCAATAATGGTGTATCTCTCTGAGGCCTCACTGCACTTTCAGTATGGGGCTATTCATTGTTGGGTCAGAATATCTGAACTGGACAAATGCCTGTCTATTAAATAAGATCACATTTAGCACAATATGTCTTACACTACGAGCTGGCCACACTGGGGGGCCTACAATGGCTACGAGAAACTTTGACCTGATATTACTTTTGACTTGTGTTTAGCCATAGGCAGCCTTGCATAAAGAGAGGAAACAAGTAGTACACCACCTTCAAACCCAGTGATCTACATGTAAGGGGGAATGGGTGCAGAAGGTTCGCCACCCACTTGCAGGGTTGAAACTTCAGGCATTATAACAATCTCAATGAAGTTGCTATGGTGCAAAGTGGTTCCACACTCCACCTTATCTTAAGAGGTTAAACCAAACCCAACATCTGAAAACAGCACCCAATCGCTTTTACTTTCCATGCAGTTTTGAGGTGTCAGCTGACCCCCTCAGACTATCAATAGGGATTAAAAAAAAATATGTATCTCAGCTAATAAGCAGCGTCCAGTCTGAGGCTTCCTGAGTGACACCTGGGATTTTTATTTCAAGGCTTAACTCATTAAGGTATGATGGCATCTACCCAGGATCTCCTCAAACGATAACTTCATCGCAATGAAGTGGTTATGTTGCCCGTCATGACCCTTTTAAGAGAATCAAAAACCAAGTAGCAAGAAAGGTGAGAACAAACAGCTGAGCTAAAACCAGCTTGAGATCTGCGCAGGGACCCACTGGAGGGCAGGCCAATTGAGCTGTTGTCCGTTCTCACCTCTCTTGTTACTTGTTTTTCTCTCAAATTTAAAGGGCAATCCAGACGTGGACCCCTTGCTCTTGGTGCCTAGAGGGATATTGTCTTGGGTTGCTGTTTCTCTCGTGCAGAGGGGACTTGCCCGTATGGGTGGGACCAGTCTGATATGTTTCAGAGATGTTCTCTGTGTAATGGCACAAGATGAGCTAAAGCCAGCTTGAGAGCTGAGCGGGGACCCATCGAAGGGCAGGCTAATTGATCGGTTGTCTGTTCTCACCTCTCTTGCTACTTGTTTTTCTCCCTTTAAGAGAATCTATCAATTCATGGTTTAGTAAGGACCTGAGGAGTTCTTTAATGGAGGGATATAGCTGCTGTGTTCTTGGCATTTATTGATCCTCAATGCAGTAATTATTCAGAATGAATGGTACTGTGTTCTTGCTTTAAACACATTGTAAGATAATACGCTGCTCTCAGCACCAAGACAATGTTTCCCCTTCAAATTAAAGGCAGTGCATGGCAACAGGAATTTCTCTAATCTGGAGGGGAAAAACAGGCAGACAAACCCCCCAAAACATTTTTAAAATGCTCCCCCAATACTATAAAGGGTATTCTAACAAACAGTCCCCAGTTCTTTGCCTCTGGCAGGAGAGGTAGTCAGGCTTACCCATGTTTATTTTCAAAGCAGGGTGAGGGAGCTGTGGCTTGGGAATCTCTGCTTCGGTCCTGGTACGCTCTAGTTGGCAAGGACTGTGCCGACATGTGGAACACACGCCGAACGTCTACGTTCCAACTGTATTTCTGAGTTTTGCCGATACCGCACCAAATGAATGTGCGCACATGCTTGGAGGTCCTGGCGGTAGCACTTATGCACAGGTTGTGACGTGTTGCACAGTGAAATCAGTGTCTACTGCGCAATCTCAATGAGACAGACACCAAATTTAATTAATTTTTGCTTTTGTATTTTCTGGGGACTGTTGGGTTAGAAGGCAGTTTATACTGCTGAGGGAGGATTTAAAAAAAATTATTGGGAGGTCTGCCTGCCTGTTTTCCTCCAGAATAGAGAAATCGTTGTCATACATTGCCTCTAATCCTCCGGAAATATAAATTTACTGCAAGCAAGATTTATGGTATTACTAATGAAGCAGTTTTAGTGTATAGAGTATGCCCCTGCAGTCTCACTGCTCAATTCTCTACCATTTAGGAGTTAGCTCACTTTGTTTATGTAGTCCTAGCCACACCTCCTTGCATGTGATTAAAGTTAATTTACAGAGCAGGAGAAAAAAAAAAACCATGTAAAGCAAAGAAACCCAGGAGAATTCACTAAATTGGAAACTCAAAGTAACAGACATTCTGCACGCAAACCGGTACTGATTGCTGCTTTAACAAATAAAATAAAAAATGTATATATATATATATATCTCTACGATTTTTTTTCATTTGACATTCCTGTTGTGTGTGCTTGGTAGTGGATTAAAAACACTGTCAGGGTGATTCACTGAAGTGAAAATTAAAAGTGAATTTTAAATTTAAGGTCAAAAAAAGCCAAATTGGTCAAATTCAGCTATGCTCTCACTTTGGCTACTCTGACTGCCGGTGGTTCAGTGGCTGGGTAAAGGTGTTTACATACCTGAATCTGTCACCAGGTACTCTCATAGAGTTTGAATAGATCTTCACCAGGTAACAGTCTTACCCATTCCCTTCCCCTCCAGACTTTATGGCACTTACAATTACAGCAAGAAGTGACACTGCAAGAGGATGCTGCACTTTTAATGTACTGCGGGCAAGAGGGAAGAATTCAACATTATTAATGTTATGTCCACAGGAGGTTACCTGTAAATTAGATTAAAATACTAGATGCACTGCCCTTATAGAACAGGATAATGTAAACGTAACATTATGTAATCTTTAAAGAGGATACATGCCATACAGGCACTTAGCACTCAGAGATGGTAGGACAGGCTCTCGCAGGAGGCACCCGGACTGCAAGTCACATAGTCCGCATCAAATGCAGGAACGGTGTGGAGGACGAGGAGACACACACCCTTCCAGCTGCAAGGAAATGTCCTTCCTGTGATCAGCAACTGCAATTTCCCACTTTTAACACCACACAATGCTGTGATGGCACTGTGCATCAAGCTAGAGGTTCTTGGCAGTTTTTTAAAGATCTAAGGCTGGTGAGAAAGGAGACATGTTCCCTTAATTTTTCTCAGATATCCCAGATCATGTGGCAGTATTGTACTTAATAGGCAAATTATATCCAAATTCTACACTCAAACATGGGCACAAACTCTCCTTACAGGATAAAACCACTGCAGAAAAGCCTTATCAAACCTCCCCCCCAGCTTTGTTTAATCCCGGTCCAATTCCATTTATTTACAAAAGTACAAGGGTTGGTTACTCAACTTTATATTTACAGTAAAAAATAAAAAAAATAAAAAAAATCACAGACCTAAAAATAAAAGTACTTTGATAAAAAGCTGCTGCCCATCAAGAATTGGTGGTGTTAAAAACTATCCTGCTGGTAACTGCGAAGTTTAGAGTTGGCAATGTGTTCAGACTAGGCCCGCAGGACGTCTCATACAAAACAGCCGTTCAAGTAAAAATGGCCAAAGTCACGTTTCACCAAGCTTGGAAAATAAAACCGTTGCTAAAGAGCTTGCAGACGGAGTACAAACCAAGTTTAAAAACCCTTTACATATTCATTAGCACCAAATATTTCATACAGCGGGGTCAAGACACTAGATTGCGCCTGGTACAAGTGGAGGAAGAGGCCACATCTGCCCTCTCAAAGCAGCATAAAGTCCCAGGCCGTGGTGTTTGTGTGTGGCAACCCTTCACACATGCCTCAAAAGAGGTATTTACGGCAACTGTTGGTGCCACACTTGCACTCCACTCGCACTCTCTTCTTTGGAGATCCTGTGAGCCCAGCTAGACCAAAGTTAGAATCCATTTTGGTACTTTCCACATCTACTGGATCCACTGGAAAGAGAAGAAACAGCTAATTAACCTGCAGTACAAACAACACAACCCTCTTACTAGACTGAACCAAATCCACACAGTGCCCAGAGAACAATGCTAGTTACATTTTAATTCTCACACTTTTTTTATACACGTTAATGTGTACTCAAAATACACGAATTAGCTCTTTCTGTACCATATTTTACAATTAAGAAAAGCTTCCATAACCAGCGTTCTGTGATACAACAGGATTAAAAGGGCACTCCAGGCACCATAACAGCTTCATCTAAATGTAGTAGTTATGGGGCCAGGAGACCCCCGGGCACACTTATATAAACAGTTTAACCCCTTAATGTAAGAGTAACAGCCAGGGGAGATGTGACCAGGCCAGTATAAACAAAGTGATGTACCTCCTGAATGACAGAGAATTGAGCAATGTGATATGATCTATACACCAAAACTGCTTCATTAAGATAAAGTTGTTTTAGTGCTTAGAGTGTCCCTCTAAATGTATTCTGATCAATGGTATCTGTAACAGGGGGATTTAACAGAACTAGGTATATATTAATTGGACAGATATACTTACAGTGAAGAGGGGACAGAGAGAAGCAGTGCCCTAAAAAATATCCTCAAAATCAAAAATTTCAATATGCAAAAGAGATGACAAAAACAAAACATGATGTAATATTTTCAGATACTTGGTTTAAAAAACAAAACAAAAAAAACAAAACACTTTTTTTGGAGCTAGTAATTAGTAATGAATCATGTGACCTGTAAAGCAATGTCTGCCTCAGTTAATTGCTTGATAGGTCACATGATTCATGAGGTGATATCAGTTACATTTAAATATGTTCGCTATTTAATCAGGACTGGTCCATACTTAGACACTGTAAGAAAACCTGTAATGTTTGGTGAAATGCATTAGTGTTTATTCTTGTTATGGTTTTAATCTTTATTTTCAATAAAAAAAAAAAAAAAAAAATTATTTTAAAATCATATTTGGCGCTTCCCTTATTTTATCCAGAAAATCCTGACATCATATTCCTTGGTGGGGAAATACCACGTAAGCTATAAAGACTGAGCAAAACCCATTTTTTTGCTCTCCACTAGTGAATATATCTAATTTATTCTACAACAGAGAGCACACGAGAGAGAAAACAAACGAGAGAGAGAGAACGCGCGCGAGAGAGAACGCGAGAGAGAACGAGCACGAGAGAACGAGCACGAGAGAGAGAGAGAGAACGAACACGAGAGAGAGAACGAACACGAGAATATATATATATATATATATATATATATATATATATATATATATATATATATATATATATATATATATATATATATATATATATATATATATCCATCCATCCGACTGGCACCCTGACTGGTTGCCTCCGCCAATCGCTGCTTCCTAGTAGCCTGGAGTACTATAAGCATCGCACCGTACACCATAAGCACTGTAGCCCCTTAATCGCCCAGCTTGGCTGGGGTCTCGCGGTCCTCCACCCACCCTGGACCTAAGACAAGGATCCAGCTTCCAGTGGGTGGACCTCTCCTCCTCCAGAGAGTATAGCAGGTCTAGCTGCGTAGCTCTTACAAGAGCTAGTGAATATAGCCAGTATAGTAATCCGAAGCAGGTATAGCTGTTCCCTACAATCACAAGACGAGGCTGCGTCTTGAGGGTGAAGAGGACTGATTTTCATGGGACCACACTTGGCCTTTTATGACAATCCCCATGCAAGGGGTACTCCCACCTGGACCTGATGGAAGACTGAATTGCAAAGTCACAGACCAATGACAATACATGACATTCCCATACATAAACGGATAATCCCTCCTCTGGGCCTGGGAGATAATTGGATCAGGAACTGTACTAATCTAATCCAATTATCTCCAAGTACAGAAAAACACTTTTTCCAAAACATTCCAAAAGTACCCCAAAAACACAAACCCCCACAAAAGTTACAGCCCCTGATAGGCTTGATCTAGGTGACCAACATATCAAAAAATCACCCTGATCAGTTCAGGAATTTCCTGAAAGTCATTTATTTGACCGACCGCACGCATGGTCCCATGCCCAAAACAGTTCCAGAGAATCAGGTTCTGCGGTCGGTCTAGTTGGGCAGTTTGAAAACAAACAAACTACCGAACAGAGTCAATGGTCTTACCCTGGAGCTTGTTCCCCTCATCCAGGCGAATGATTTCACTGAACAGTGCCCTTCTAAGTTGTATAGAACCGAACGCAGGCTATGATGGAAGTCCAGTGGTGTACAGGAGTTTCTGTGCCCGATTTTAGTTCCATTAGATTCATGCCCAAACACCGCTGCCTGCGTTCATGCGAACAAAATGGCCGCCACCTCCCGGTTGTCCATAGGAATTGCGGCCACCCAGACGAACAATTAGAACACTGCATTGAGAAACGTTCCAAGTTGTTAATAGGCGTTAACAAGCTCCAGGGTGGTCTCTGGTTCGTGCGGTTGATCGGTAACCGAACCATATAATCCCAATTGCACGTATTTTAGCCAGGTCTATTGCAGGGGCCATAGTCCAAGAACCAGTGGTGTGATTCTGTTTGCCACAATATATACTTTTATTCTTTCATATACGGTGAATATCCTGGTGACCCTTTGCTGCTAACACTCCTGTGCACTAACAAGTGTTAATTCTGAATACCTTGAGCTAGAAAGATTATATCACACCAGCTACCAAAACAACTATCAAAACGTACAAAAGGACTCCCACACACACGATCAAGATATTCCACAGATTCGCAAGTGTAGATTATACAGCCCAAGCGCATATATTTGGAGCGAATTACAAGGTCCAAAAAAGTGCTTATTCTTTTATTTATCTCACCAACTATCTGAAAATACTGTACCATATTTCGTTGGTGTCATCTCCTTTGCATATTGAATTCTCCTGATTGGATTTTGAGGATACATTTAAGGCGCTGCTTCCCGTTGTCCCTTTTCAACTCAATCCATGACCAGAAAGAAGAGGCTTTGGTTTGTTCAAGCTGCCTACCTGCACTTTAAGCAAGTGCTAGAGACTTTTGTACCCAGATCTACTTACATGCTGGTTAATCACATAACAACTAAGTGGACTTAAAAGGCTACACTCTAAAAGGTACTTCATAAAGAGAAACAAAAATCACCACAAACCCCTTCCCACACACCCGCCAGCCATACTTATTCCCCCTCCCCCATTTTGTAATTGTATCAAAGACTGCTGATGATCCAAACCCCTCCCGCAGCTAACCGTGCATGTTATAATCAAATGTAAGTTCCTCTCCTGTGCGGATGGTGCGTGTGGCGAAGAATGCAATCCGGGGCAATCGCTCGTCCTGATTATCAATGAAGATGTTGTAGACCTGCAGGTTTGGCCGGCACTGTGCAAAGAAGAGAGATTGGATGTATTAGAACTTTGTGTAAGGTATACAGTCTGTTTGCCCCACGAAAGAGTAAAACTTACACTGTGATTAACAAAGTGAGAGATGTTTCCATAGTGAGCAGCATCAACCGTATATATATCCTCCACATAATCCAAGTCAAACAGGTAGGTGGCGCCCTGTCTGTCATAGATCTGTCCCCTACGTTCTGCCTCATCCGAGGTAATGATCTGCATAAAACACAGACAATGGTTACATCGACTCTCACCTCACGGTGCATCGTCTGCAGTATGTCCTGAGACCAAGAAATTATGGAATAGTAACCAATGCTGGATGGAACGTCTTTATGGCCAGAACTGTAATGGTGATATAGAGAGATATATAAACCGTGTAACGGGGATAGAGAGAGATTATATATATATATATATATATATATATATATATATATATATATATATATATATATATATTTTATCTCTCTCTCCCCCGTTACACGGTTTATATCTCTCTCTCTCTCCCCGTTACACGGTTTATATCTCTCTCTCTCTCCCCCCGTTACATGGTTTATATATCTCTCTCTCCCCGTTACACTGTTCATATATCTCTCTCTAACCGTTACACTGTTTATATCTCTCTATAACCATCATACTGTGTGTGTGTGTATATATATATATATATATATATATATATATATATATACATACACACACACACACACACACACACACACATATACATACATACATATACACACATATACATACATACATATACATACATATACACACATATACATACACACACACACATATATATACACACACACACACATATATATATATATATATATGTATATATATATATACACATACACACACACACAGTATAATGGTTATAGA